GCCATTTTGTGGCTGATTGTGGGGGACCGAGTCCAAGGACCAGCTAAGAAACCTGCAGGGAAGCCTAAATTCACCTAAGGCGCTGTACGTCACCTCGGAAGAAATTGGGGAGGAATCCAGCAAAGACGAAGACAGCGAGCCAGCAGGAAAAGGCCAGGTCCTGCTGTGAGCGGCACGGAGCAGCAGGGCCCGATCTTGGAGGCGCCAAAAGCAGTGAGCAGCTACGCCCCTCTGTTTTTCGTGACTGTATTATTAACCCCACCCAAGGAACTCACATCCGTGTGAGGGGTCTTATTGACTCTGGGTGTGGGAGGGACCTCATAAATCCCTCCTTAGTAACGGGGCTAGAAGCGGGGGTGGTGAGACTGCAAGACCCCCTAATTTTCACTCAAATGGATGGGTCCACGATGAAGGAGCCATGTGAGTTCGAGACAGTCCCGTTGCAGGTGGGGACGGGGGGTCACTGGGAGGAACACCTGTTTGTGATCACCCCTGCAGCCAGATTCCCGCTGGTGTTAGGGAGCCCCTGGCTGCATGGACATGACCCTTACATTTTGTGGGATGAAGGGAAAGTACAGTTCATCTCCCTTCGGTGCCAAGAGCACTGCTGGAACTCACAATGGGGGGCCCAACCTGTCCTGGAAAACCCAAGGGCGTGTTTAGCCCAGGAGGAATTACAATCCATTCCCCCCGAATACCGGGACTTGGCTAGGATCTTTGAAGAAGAAGAAGCCGACGAGCTCCCCCCCATAGGCATTCTGACTGTAGTATTGAATTACTGCCGGGTCACAAATTACCTAATGCGCATTTATGTGATGGGGCTGGCAGAAAAGGATGAACTGCATAAGTTTATTGACAAGAACCTGGCAAGGGGTTTCATCCGACCAGACTCCTCCCCATTTGCTGCCCTGGTGCTGTTCCGGAAAAAGGATGGGGACTTACGGTTGTGCACGGATTATTGGGGGTTAAATGCTGTGTCATCGACTAATGCCTACTCCATGCCCCTCATCAAGGATTTACTGGCCGAAGCAGCTAAAGGGAAAGTCTTTTCGAAACTAGACCTTCGAGAGGCCTACTTCCGGGTTCGCATCCGGGAGGGGGACGAACACAAGACTGCCTTTAATACATCTCTCAGCCAGTTCGAATACCACGTGATGCCATTTGGTCTTCAGGGGGCTCCGGGGGTCTTCATGAACTTGATTAACGAAGTGTTGCACAAGCACCTGTTTAAGGGGGCCCTTGTTTACCTAGATTTATTTATTTATTTATTTGGATTTCTATCCCGTCCTCCCCGCAGGCTCAGAGTGGCTTACAGAGGCATAACGCCAGATAATAGGAATAAAACAGTATAAAATACGAACAATACAAATTACATTAAATATTAAATAGTTAAGCAAAAATTCATAAAAACATTTCGGTGCTCCCGATATCTTGCTGTACTCCCTCGACCTCCCCTTTCACGAGATGTTGGTGAGGGAAGTCCTGATGACGTTGCACATGCACAAACTGTTCGCGAAACTTTCCAAATGTGAGTTTCACAAGTCACACATTGACTTCCTCGGGTATCGGATATCGAATAATGGTTTGGGAATGGACCTGGTGAAGGTCCGCGATGTGCTGGGATGGGAGACTCCCCGTACCTGCCGCCAATTACAATCCTTCCTCGGTTTCTCGAATTTTCACATAAATTTCCTGCTCAATTTTGCACAAATCAATTTGCCCCTTACTGACTTGTTAAAAACGAAAGGGAAGGGTCTGGAGGCTACCAAGCCGGGGGTGGAGCTTTGCTTGGAGCAAAGAGTGCCAGGAGGCTTTTGACCACCTTAAATCCCTGTTCACATCAGAACCCGTATTAGCCCACCCCGATGAAAATAAAAAATTCATCGTTCCAGTTGATGCATCTGACGTAGCCATTGGGGGGGCGATCTTGCAAGAGGGGACTGACGGGTTACTGCACCCCGTCACTTACGTGTCCAGAAAGTTTAATGACACTGAGCGAAACTGGTCAATTTGGGAAAAGGAGGCGGGGGCGATCCGGCTTATGTTTGCTACCTGGAGGCACTGCTTGGAGGGGGCGCGAGTCCCGTTTGAAGTGTGGACTGATCACAAGAACTTGGAAATGCTTAAAACACCTAGGAGCCTCAACGCCAAGCAGCTCCAGTGGGCTGATTTCTTTTCCAAGTTTCAATTCACCCTTCATCATTTCCCCAGTTCTGCAAACTCTCTCGCTGACGCCCTGTCCTGCCTCCCTCAGCACGACAGCCAACGGGAGGTGATTCTGTATTCTATGTTTACGCCCTCTCAACTCGGCGGGGTGGTGACTACACACAGCCGTTCCAGCCTCTCCTCACCTACTACACAACCAGACCATGGTATCCACCCCCCTGCCACGCCAGGTGGGACCCATTGGAACAGTAGGTTTATCTTCGCCTTCTCGGAGGGTGACAAGGCGGAGGTGGAATCAGAGGGGGGGTTGGAAGTCAAACCAGATGGGTGTTGCTACCACGGCAACAAACTGTTTGTTCCACATTCCCTACAGGGGGAAGGATTGAACGTGGTACAAGGCTCGAAATTACCTGGTCACCCTGGGTTTGTTAAGTCCCTGCAGCTGCTGCAAAGACAATTTTGGTGGCTGCAGATGCGAAAGGATTTGTCAGCCTTTGTGAAATTGTGTCAAACTTGTGCCATGTGCAAGTCCAGACCGGGAAAACCCCTGAGATTGTTGCAACCTCTCCCGACTCAGAGTCGGCCGTGGGAGGCAATCTCCATGGATTTTATCATGGATTTACCCCCGAGTAAGACTCTGTTGGTCATTTGGGTTGTTGTGGATTTATTCTGTAAGCAAGCACATTTTGTCCCATTCACCTCCCTACCCACGGCAAAAGCACAGGCAAAGGCTTTCTTACTCAATGTGCTCCCGGCTAAAGTCATCTCCGATAGGGGCCCCAGTTCGTTTCCCAATTTTGGGGGGAGCTTATGAAGCTTATGGGAATTGAACATGCGTTAAGCAGTGCTTATCATCCCGAGACTGACGGACAGACAGAACGTGTAAATCAAACTTTAGAACAATATCTGTGCTGCTTCACTAACTATCAACAAAATGATTGCGTGGATCTCCTACCCCTTGCCGAGTTTTGTTATAACAACACGTTTCATTTGTCTACGGGAATGTCCCCTTTTAAGGTGTTGTATGGATATGACAGCCCCCACGATACCTTTCTTGGAGGACCTACTGACTTGGGGACCGGGGATGCTGCACAATGGTGTCAACACCTGAAGGACTCTTGGCTGCTCCTTTGAAAGACGTTGAATGCAGCCAAGAAGGCATATAAGACTCAGGCTGATAAGAGAAGAGTGGAGGGGTGGGCTCTGCAGCCTGGGGATTCAGTGTATGTGTCTGCTAAGAACATTAAAGTGTTGCGGCCAAGCCGTTGGAAATATATTGGACCGTTTAAAGTAAAACGGATGATCAATGACGTGGCTGTGGACTTAGATTTACCCAAGAACTTGAGGAATATCCACTCTGTGTTTCATTTCAGCCTCCTGAAATGGGCTTCGGGGTCCAACCCATGGCAACCATCGCAGCCCCCCCCCCCATGATCAAGGGCGAGGAACATTATAAAATCTCGAAGATCTTGGACTCTAAAATCAAACATGGCAAATTGTTTTATCTGGTGGAATGGCGAGATTTTGGATCCCAGCACCAGGAATGGGTGGAAGTAGGGGATATTCGGGCCCCTAAGTTGTTGCGCAAGTTCCACTGGGACTTTCTGGAGAAACTGGGAGACCTCCCGGAATGCCCGGGAGACCTCCTGGAATGCCTGGGAGGGGCTGACTTTTGGGTGGGCAGAATGTCAGCTATGCTGCCATGATGTTTATGGGCGAGAGTGCAGCTGCTTGACCTGTGTACCAACTGATGCCGCATTCCTTTGTCCTTGCTTATCTATGCCGCCATGATGTTTATGGGTGAGAGTGCAGCTGCTTGACCTGTGTACCAACTGATGCCACATTCCTTTCTCCTTGCTTATCTATGACCTTGCTAGCTAGTTGTCTGTGTAGTGTCTTCCCATCTATTACTTGTGGGATAGGTTTTGATTCCCAGCTTTGGCTTTAACGGCCTGGGGCCCCATTCTCCCGTGTGTGTGAGGCTGATTGGCCTAGGAGTGGGGTGTGTGTGCATACGAATACCCTATATCCCATTCTGCTTGTAGGAAAGTAGCCATTCATAACAGTGACAATGTTACTGCCTCTATAGCTCTTACAATAAAGTATAACCTTATGTTAAGCGTGTACTCCTTTGTTTGGCTGTGGAACCTGACACTAGCTTGAGGTTGCATGGACGTTCTTTTAGTGCCAGTATGAAAAGTTTAGTTTGTAACCAAGCCTCCTTACTTTGAGGGTTACTGTACCCAACCTGCCCCCCCAAATCTCAACCTATTGCATTGCATGTGTATCTCTCTTTGTTGGCTTTCTCAGCCTACTGATGGACCCTGACTCAGCAGCCAAGAATCACTGTTCTTCCCAGTCAAGTCCTGTGGCTTGGTTACCTTATGTAACTGACATGGCAATCCCAGTAAGGGGCTTTGAAGGCAAGTGAGAAACAGAGGTGATCTGCCATTGTTTTCTTCTGCACCGAGGACTACTTTCCTCAGGGGTCTCCCATCCAAGTACTGATCTTGTTTAGCTTCCAAGATCTGACAAGATCAGCCTACACCATGCTGCCTGCCTTTATATCTATTATCATCAATTATTTGTTGGTCCCTTTTCCAAGTAGCTCATCAGAGTTGTGGGTCCAGTGAGCTTGCCTGCCTCTGTCTCTCTTTTAGTGATGCACATTTAATGTTGAAATATTTAGGTTTCTGAATAGTTATAGCAGATTATCCCCTCCCTTTAATACGCCCTTGAAACTGCTGCTTTTAAAGAGCTGTAAATCTTTTTACTATGGATAAGACTGAAACTGCTTTCTGAACAACAAATGTATGTGGGTATTTTCATTTCAGTGCTGTGTCAAGTCCATCCTCACTCTTAGCAGAATCATTAACATCATCTGAAGTGGAAAGTACAGACCTAGTGGACAAAACAGTTCCTGAAAGAGAAGATGTGCAAGGTCAGTATAAGAGCATGATTTTTTCAGCCTGTTACACAGGTTAAGGCAACAGGGAAAATCTCTTGGTTTATTGCTGGTTTCAATAACTGAATGATGCCAGTGAGGTTTTTTCTTAAAAGTTGCAGTAACTGTGGCAAAAAAAGAGAGACCTTGTGGACAGGTGACATTTTAAGTGTTCCATCCTAATGTCTCAGCTGTGGCTATAGGAAAAGTTTGTTCTTTGGGGTCTTCTATTGAGTTTGATGATAATAAATCAACTTGTTCTCAGTAGTCAAGAGAGAATCCCTAAGTGCTTTATAGTTTTGTTGGAAGAGGTAGTTCCAGTACATCAAGACTTTTTTTTCTTATTTATACCCAGGCTTTTAAGGCTTGCTGATGAAAGAGGGGTAAAGGATTCAAGTTCTGTGTTGCTAGCCATTTAATCTGATTAAGCTACAGAGATAGGCTAAATAAAGATGTTTGCAAATCCTTTGCCGACTTGCAGCTTTTGATTAAAAGGCCAGAATACTTTTTAATTCTTGTTTCCATATCCTGGTTCATGCCATCAGCTTGGGTTTCAGAACTATTTGGTTCTCTGCACGAAAGACCAAAGTCTCCACATTTCATATAGCTTGGCAAAAAGAGTAGACTCTGCCAGTGTAGTGGAGTGTATATACAAAGCAAAAATGATTACTATAGAGAATCCATATATCTAATTCCCAACTGTGCCCCTGTGTGTGGATACTTATTTCTGGAGATAAGGAGCACGTGGAGGGTAAAGAGACTTTTCTGCACACTTGGGGGACTCTCCAGGTGTGCAGAAAATCTTACAGCTTTCAAAAACTATACAGGAGATACTTAAATCCCCCAAAAGTAAAACTGCTTGCTCTGCATGAGGCGTGGGAACAGACACTGGAGCTGCAAAAGAAGCTGCTGCACCAATAACGCTCTCTCGCTTTCCACCAGTCTTGGTGGTGGGCTCCTCTGGCTCTTTGCCTCTTCCTCCTCTTCCGCCACCTTAGAGAAACACTGGGGCCATGGGGCTGGCCGAGCGACGAGGATAAGCCAGGAGGGATTCAGCATGTTGGAGCCCAGGTCAGTCGGGAAGGAAGGATGAAGGGAAACCAAGCCGCAGCTGCCCCCAGCCAAAAGAAGTCCCCTCAGGACCTCCCCAGCTCCCCACACTCAACTCCTCCACACCCACCTGCCAGCCTCTCCCCACCCCATACCTACCTAGCAGGCCTGCCCTGCCCACGGCTCTCGCCTCAACGCCACCCCAGCACCGGAGGAGGAGGAGGAGGCGGCAGCAGTGACAACCTCCACTGGCCCGGTGGCGGGAGTAGCAGAGGCACCACCAGCCCCAGCCACAGGGGACACCAGCAGCCACATTGCGCTTGGCTGTTAGAGGCGGAAGACGTCAGTGCCCACACCAGGCTCTGCAGCAGTGGGTGGCGAATGCAAGCAGCCATCTCCTGTCTGGCAGCAACAGCAGGAGACTGGCTGTCCCCAGCTTTCCACTTAGGGGGATATAGGATTCCCCCCTGTAAGTCTCTACTCCCACTGAGCCATGTGAGAAATTAGCAGCGATGGAGGAAAGGAACCCCCATGAGCATCCTGTCCTGTACTTCCTCCACACACCCCCAAGGCAGCAGAGTAAGGACTGCCTGCTAGAAGGCAGGTGGGGAGAGCAGCAAGGGTGTGGGGGAGTTTCAATGAAAAGGGGGGGTGTAATGTAGTACTAAGGGTGGGAGCAGGTGGGAAGAGAGCAAGGGTGGGGGTGAGTGAATGCCAAGGTTGTGTGGGGGGAGTGGAGTGTTAAGGGTGGAGGTAGGTGGGGAGAGCAGCAAGGGCTGGGTAGACTGATGGAGAAAAGGTGAGGGGGCAAAAGAAATGTGGGTTGACTGACAGATAAGGGGAATGGGAGAAAGGAGTGAAATGGGGGTAGGTTGACAAATAATGGGAGAAAGGGGGGAATGGGGGGGTAGATTATCAGAGAGGGGGTAGAGACCTGCAACAAAATGTTGTATCAGGTGTTACACTTTGTTTTAAGTTGTAATAGCATTTTTTAAAAAACAAGCAACAACACATGATGCAACTTTGAATATTTTTTACTATTAGAAAGAAGTACCAACACACCTTCATAGATTCATGACAATAGCCATGTAGAAACAATGTCAGTCTGGTTTATGGTACTTTTGTCATTTGCAAACTTTAGTACGTTCACATGCAGTTCTCTCAAGTGTCTTGTCTCAGAAGCATTTGAGAGGATTGTATGTGAATGTGCTGATCTGGAACAACTGGGTTCAAATCCCCAACTCTGCCATGGAAGCTTTCTGGGTTACTCTTGGCCTGTTGCAATCTCTGGGCCTAACCTACCTCACAGAGTTGATGTGAGGATAAAGTGGGGAATGGGAGAACAATTTGATAAGCTGTTTTGACAACCGACAAGGGAGAAAAGCAGAATATAAATAAAAAGATACACCTGGACAGTTTCTGATCACCAAACAAATAATGCACTGTGTAGGTGAAATGAGCATTAGTCTTCAGGGTGCTTTGCTGTACAGAACAGAATTATGAGAGTAAAAACATGCCGCTCTCCTACAGGGATTGCTTTTTTGTAGTACCTAAAAGACATAGCATGCAGCACAAGCTTTGCAGGCTTGCATTAAAATAGTCACCTTTTTAAGCTGCTCTCTAGTATATTTTTTTCAACTGATGAAATTCTATGGAATTCCTTTTCAACATTGCTCAGTGACAGGACAGCCACAGAACTGAACTTCCCATGATTACAATGGCTAAAAGAGCTGGCAAAAATTAGTTTTTTTAAAAGGGACCTGCTCCATTTCAAATGCAATATGGACTATGGCAGAGGTGTCAAAATCATTTGTTACAAGGCCCAGATCTGACATAAATATGACTTTGTCAGGCCAGGCCATGTGTGCCATAAAACGTAATCCCAGGTACCAGAGAGAGAAACTTTATAAAGGACAGCAGCTGCTGAGCACCGAGTTGGTCTGTCCTTATTGCAAGACCATGTGGCCGGGGGGGGGGCACGGGGCAGAGGAAAACCCACATGAGCGGACTGGAGAGCCAGTGGTATAGCACTCAGAAGGTGTTCCCACACTTCCTGGAGGGGGGCAAACCCCTTCCCCAGCCCACTCCCACCACCAATGCTGTGAGCCTGGGCCCCAGGGTAAAAACATGAAGCAGCTGGGTATTGTGAGCAGTATTCCCTCTAAGCTGAGTTAGTGTGAGCTAGCTCACAGTTTTTTAGCCTTGGGCTCACACATTTTTGTCTTAGCTCAGGAAGGATGGCTCCAGAGCAAACTAATTTATGCAGTAGCCAAATCACTTGCTCACAACTTTAATGCCAGTAGTTCACGATTTTTGCTCACAAAACTCCACAGCTTAGAGGGAGCATTGGTTTATTTATTTATTTATTTATACATTCGATTTATTTACCGCTCTGACCTCGAAGGGTCTCTGAGCGGTTTACAGGTAGTTTCAAATACATTTTTCCCTAACTAAGGCCACATAGTATACAGGGGTGGGGCTGCCTACCGGCACCCAGGTGGCAGGGCTGTTGTTCTGCAGCTCTGGCATTCTTCCTCCAAGCGGTCTTCAGGGTTGGCGTCCCATCTCCTGTGTCCAGGGGCATCTCATCTCCTGTGTTCAGCGCGCGGCCCGTGTCAGCCACAGCCTGGCCATCGTCCAATTCTGGCTCTGCCGTGCCTGCTCCTCCACGTCACCGCGTTCCTCCGTGGCTCCGCCTCTGCCTCCGTTGTTGTTGGATCTCGCTACTCGATGTTCTGCTCACTGACCACCAGGGATCGCCTCGGCAACTTTGCTGCCGCTCCGTTGCTTTCACTGTTCCAACCAGTCCACTGTCACCGCCGCCACCGCCAATTGCTCCTGCCACACACCTCACACGGAGGAGGGTGCCCCCTGCCACCTAAAGGCAGGTACCCATTTATCTACTTGCTATATATTTACTGCTTTCGAACCTCTGGGTGGGCGGGAGCTAGGACTAGGGCCGGACGCTCACCCCGGCCGCGGTGGGTCTCGAACAGCCATAGTGGCTGTTCATTGTTGTTACTGCAGGGCGTTTTACCGCCTGCACCACCACTCCCCCCTGGTTGTGAGCTGCCCCCTGCCCCTGAACCACCATGGAAGGGGACTGGGAAAACAAGTTGAATTATCTCCCCTGCTGCAGAAGCGGGGAGGAGGTGACCCAGGTATGAGGCCCTGTGTATGGCAGAACCAGGCCAAGCAAAGCCTGATAAGCTGGAGATGTCCGTACAGCAGCAATCGCCTCCGACCAAGGCCACCAGGTGATCCATGGCAGGGCAATGCTGGGAGTTCAAGCCAGAGATCATTGGCAAGCTGCACCACCCCCATGCAGCAGCAGCCATCCCATGCTGAAGGCCACCAGATCATCTAATGGGGGAGTGGGCACCATGCACACAAGGCTGCATGTGTGGCAGAGACCCCAGGCCACCCAGTTACCTCTATAACCAGAGATTGCTGGCACTGCCCCCCAGAGGGCAGCAGCTTCTTATGGCTGAAGGCAGCCAGGTGGTTCATGGGGGAGGGAGGCCCGGCCATGGAGTTGTGTGCTCGGTGGTAGGACTAGGCCACCCATGTATGGAAGAAACTGCCAAAGAATACCCCCAGTGGGCCAAAGCACTGCCACTGCATGGGGGGGGCACAAAGATGACAGCACCACTGGCCGCCAGCAGGCCCCAGCAGAGGATCATCTCAACCCCCATGTGCAAACACTGATCCCTGTGGCCATCTGGGATGTCATCCCCAGAGCTACAAGCCAAGCAGAGAGGGCATGTGACCTTGCCTTGGAGTCTCGAGCCGGCATGAATGTATCTGCGGTGGCTCCCAACCAGCCCCGTAGCTAGGGATTTTTTTGGGATGGGGCCTCGAAGGGGGGGGGCTGCAGCTAATTAAATCAAAGCCCATTACATTAATTCAATTTGGGAGCAGCCCGGGATGAAGGGGGCCCAGAAGAA